AAAAAATAAATAACTACAAGAGGTTAAAGTACATCAAATATGTTAAAAATCCACAAATTTATAATGAACTAACTGTAACAAGGAAGAACTCATTGACTACTTTTGAAGGAAGCTAGAGAATTAATCCATTTTGAAAACTGGTAGTAAATACAGAGGAAAAATCAGGCAGGCATTGTAGCGCATTCCTGTAATTCCAGATAGTCCAGAGGCCAAAGCAGGAGGTCACAAGTTTAAGACCAGCTTTGGCAAAGTAGTGAGACCCAGTCTCAACAAAAACAAACAAACAAATAATTCAAGTACTTCTGCCTTTCTGTAGGAATCATATCCAGGGTAACCAGTGCTGATTAGGGCAAATTTCCTTCTTTAGAGGTATTCTAGCTAATGAATGAAAAAGAGACGATAGCATATCACCATTTTACAATAACCCTAATGAGATTATGGTTTGGGTAAGGATTATATCTTAACTGCTGTCATCAGAAAACAGGGACAATTGGGGTTGGGGATTTAGCTCAGCGGCAAAGCGCCTGCCTGGCAAGCACAAGGTTGTGAGTTCGGTTCCCGGTACCGGAGAAAAACCAAAAAAAAAAAATAAATAAATAAAAAAACAGGGACAATTGATGTTATTTTCCTATAGAAATACACATCACCACTTCTGAGGTTTGCCCCTCTAAAAGAAAATAAAACCATTGAAATCAAATCATATCACCTCTAGACCTAATTTCCAATTTGCACCTGTGGGAAGTGGAATAAATGAAAGATGGAGATGCAATCAGCAAAATTAAAAATAGGCATAATCTACAGATTATTTGAGAACAGAACTAGTCTTGAATGTCACTGGCCCAGAGCAAAGGACCAACTAAGATTGTTTGGTAGGAGCCAGGCGGGCTCTCAGCACTGGCCTATGTGATGAGGTGGTGCTGGACACTATGTAGCCATTGAGAGCCAAGTTCTATACAACGATAGACAGTCCAGGACTTGTTCAACATTCTGTTCAAAAACAAATTGCAAGAAAAGAAAAATGAGGAGGAGTGACCTCAAAATTAAGACAACTTGATCTTTTTTTTTTTTTTTGGTTTTTCTCCGGTACCGGGAACCGAACTCAGGACCTTGCGCTTGCCAGGCAGGCGCTTTTGCCGCTGAGCTAAATCCCCAGCCCCTAGACAACTTGATCTTGATTTCAATAAAACTAGATATAAATATTTGCGAGAGCTAGACAAGAGTGGCACAATACTTGTAATCCCAGCTACTCTTGAGGCTAAAACAGGAGAGTTACAAGTTGGAGGCCAGCCCTGGGCAATTTAATGAGAATCTGTTTCAAAACAAAAATTTAAAATCATCTGTGAGAAGAGCTGAAGGGAGAAGGGAATGGGGAAAAAAAGAAGAATCAAGATATACTATATACAGGTACAAATTCCCTATGATGAATGTGATCATTATGTATGTCAAAAGTGTACCAATAAAATTAATTTAAAAAGTTGTCTGTGGGTGTAGCCCAGTACTTCCTGGGTCCTTGAGTTCAACACCTAGTACCTCATGGGGGTGGGTGCAAAAACTGGAGAAATTTGAAAAGATTAGATTTTAGTCATATGGGATTATTGTTAATTTCTCTCCCTTCCCCCACCCCTACCTCGCTCCTTTCCTGGCCCTTCTGCCACAGGATGTTGTAACCAGAAACTCCTTGTCAGATGCTGCTTCCTCAATTCCAGACTTCTCAGTCTCCAGAATCAGGCATGCCCAAAACTAGGGATTTTTTGTCTTTTTTCTGATTTTAAAAACTAGTAACTTAAAAACTGCCACACACACAAAACAAATGGTCCACAAAACATTCTCCTTTCCCTCTGAAGGTTTTAGATGCACCGTTATCATTAACCAGTCTTTCACTATTAAACTTAAATGGCTAATGGGGAGACCAGTCTTCCACTGCTGATGAAGACTGGGGTGGCAGGTGTTAGGGGTAATATTCATTTAGCCTTCTGAGCTTGCTGGGCAGACTTGGTGACCTTGCCAGCTCCAGCAGCCTTCTTGTCCACTGCTTTGACGGAAGGATGCAATCCAAAGCCTCAAGCAGTGTGGCTCCACCCGCAGTGCCATCTTTCCGAGTGACCTTCCATCCCTTGAACCGAGGCATATGAGCACTCGGCTCCAGCATGCTGTCACCATTCCAACCGGACATTGGCACAAAAGCTGCCCTGTCAGGGTTGTAGCCAGTTTTCTTAATGTAGGTGCTGACTTCCCTAACAATTTCCTCGTATCTCTTCTGGCTGTAGGGTGGCTCAGTGGAATCCACTCTGTCAACACCAACAATTGGTTGTTTCACACCAGCATGTAAGCCGGAGGGCATGCTCACGGGTCTGCTCATTCTTGGAGACACCAGCTTCGGATTCACCAACACCAGCAGCGACAATCAGGACAGCACAGTCAGCCTGAGATGTGCCTGTTGTCACGTTTTCGATGGTCTCTGTGTCCAGGGGAATCAATGATAGTCACGTTAATATTTGCTGGTCTCAGATTTCCACGGGGAGATGTCAGTGGTGATACCACACTCACGCTTGGCTTTCCATTTATCCAAGACTCAGGCATACTCGAAGGAACCCTTCCCTATCTCAGCAGCCTCCTTCTCAAATTTTTCAGTGGTTCTTTTGTGGACGCTACGTTTGTAGATCAGAAGGCCAGTGGTGCTGGACTTGCCCAATCCACATGTCCAATGATGATACTAATGTCTTTTCCTTCCCCATGCTGGCTGTGATTTAGTGGTGATGTTCACTACACCTGTGCTCTCATGGAAAACCCATTGTGAAAAAGGAAAAATACAGGTTTTAGAAGAAAGAAAACTGGACTCTTCTTATCCCACGGGATACGACTTGCAAATAAAGTGGAAGAAATAATCTCTCACATAAGGAACGAGGCACCATGTCAGGACACCTAGAGATCTGGAAGAGTCCAAGGAGAAGCAAAACTGAGGCTCTTGCTAAGTGTCATCTTCACAGCCATGTAAGTGAACCTGCTGCATCCTCCTGCCTTAGCCTCCTGACTAGCTAGCGTTACAGGTATGAGCACTGCACTTAACTCAGCTGTAATTTTCATATGGCAAAAGCACCATAAAAATATTAAAAATCACTCATATTTAGAGGAATGCATATTAAAACCACACTGATACACCATTTCTTATCTCTCAGGCTGGCAGAAACCTAAAATTTCAAGACTATAGGGGAATAGGTATTCTCAGGTCTTGCTGGTGGAAATGCAAACTGATACCACTCTTCTGGAGAAGAATTTGCAGTAATAATAATTTAAAAAAACTACATATGTATTTGTCCTTTGACCAAAAAATCCCACCGCTAGATCCTCCTAAAATATGAAAATACATATACATGCGGTTCTTTATTATAGCATTGTTTATAACTGCAAAATATCATAAACAACCCAAGTGTCCACATGTAACAACTGGATGATGGAATAAACTGTGATACAAAGAACGGAGAATGATGCAGTTTTAAAAAAAATATAAAGATTTCTATCAACAAATATAAAGTGATTTTTCAGGATATACTGTTAAATTAAAAAAAAGTAGTGTGAGGTATAGGACCTTCACGTTAACAGATACAATGCCAGGCCTGGCAGCACAGCCCATAGTCTCAGCTACTGGAAGGCTGAGGTAGCATTACAAGATCAAGCCCAGCTTGGGAAACATAGTAAGACCATCTCAGAACAAAAAAGGGAAAAGAGCTAGGGACATACCTCAGTAATGAGAGCTATTTGGGTTTAATCTCCAGTACCAAAGAGAAGAGATAATTAACCTTGACGCATTTGAACTGCACTGGTCTGGTACATTTTTTTTGTGGGGGGGTGGAGGGGGGGAAGAGTCTCACTATGTAGTTCAAGCTGGCCTTAGGCTATGTAGCCCAGTATAGCCTCAAACTTGCAGTGATCCTCCTGCCTCAGCCTCGAGTGCTGGGATTACAGGCATGCTCCACCATGCCTGCTTTGCCCTCAGTGTGGGTTACTTTTTCCCAGGATGGAATTGAGTTTTTTTTTAAAGACAATCCCAGAAAAGACAACATGCCTTTTGGTGCATCTTATCAGGAGATATATGATGTCAATCTTTCACTGGTGATATTATTCTTGATCACTTTAAGTGTGCCTGCCAGGTTTGTTCCCTGTAAAATTACTCTTTGAGGAGTTACTCTGAGGGTATATAAATAGCTTGTTATTTTGCAAACTTCCACCTACTTGTTTTAGGATTGCTCAGGCGTGGGTCATGCCTGGAAGAGTTAGTGACATTAAGAATATCAAGGTATAGAGACAGAGTACTGCAGTGCTATGGAAAAACAGGGTCTCATAAAATGCAGGGCACGGTATAAATTTAAAGAGCAAGCTGCATGAAAATCTGAGCTATATTCACTTTTACCATGCAATGCTACCTTTAGAAAAATGTATCCTAAATGACACGTAAGTACAGACTTACATGAGGATGTTAACTTTAGGGTTGCAATAGTGAAAAATTTAGAGGTAATCAATATTTGCCAGCCACTCTGGATTAAATGTACAGTAGCATATTCGTATGATACAACATGCAGTTATTAAGCAACTCACAATACTGAATAGATTAACTCCAATTTTAAATGAATTGTGTTAGGCTGCTCATCAAGCCAGGCGTGGTGGTACCCACCGATAATCCTAGCACTTGGGAGGCTGTGGCAGGAGGATCACTGCAAGTTCAAGGCCAGCCTGGGCTACATGGCAAGACCCTGTCTCATCATGTACTGATCACCAAAATGTTAGCTATGAGGGTGACAGTGACTTTTGTTTTGTTCCTAGAGTTTTACACCAGCTTTTGTAAGTCAAATTTCAAGCTATTCTCAGTCAAGAAAACAAAGATACCAAAAACATAAAGCACTAGTATCTTTATTATGGCATAAAGTCGTATTTTATACATTAAGTCATTTTACAGTAAAAATTTATGTACAACTGTAGAGAAACCACTGCACAGATAGCCCCAACATAAAAAAAATGGCTGTAATTCAAGTCCATTTAGCTTTTTGACACAGAACTTGGAAAATGTTTTCTCTGTAGAAAATAGTAAAAATGACAGTATTTTCCAGGTTAGCCCAATAAGCCCATTTAAACCAAAGAAAAGCTGAGTTACAGATTTGAAAATATGGTTTGAGTTCTGAGATCCAGAAGAAACATTAGATTCATTTACTGAAACATCTATGTTTTTCTTCAAATCAAACTGTATGAGGTGAAACTGCTATTAATCCTTTCCTCTTTATACCTGATTGTTCAGTTACCATATCTTTATAAACCATTTATTCCTATCCAAATTTTGCAATGTTTTGGTTGTTATTAAAGTATGCCCAGCATTTGGGCAAAACCAGAATCTAATAAATTATAACCCACAAGGCACATGTGGATAGGCTATCACCCTAATTCCCCGTTTCTTCATAGGATGCCATAAGAGACAGGAATAAAGCAATAAAACTGATAAATAGACCAAGGAGTAAAATCCAAGAGAACTCCAAGACGGCAGGAGACACCCAGTCAGGATTCAAGGATAGCATTTTGTTGCCTCAGGATCAGGTGCTAAGTTGGTTATCAGGGCCCTATCTGCAAGGTGCTCATGTAACAGGCAATCAGAGTTAAAGAGCAGCAACCAGAGCCTAGATTTCAGTTGTTCAAAGTAATTGAATGAAAATGAGGCAAACCATATAGTTTTAACTTTGCTTCAAAGCTTGTTCCAAGATTCCCATGACTGACCATATACTTTACAAAAAGACCCCATGTAGGCCACTACAAGTTAACCTCTTGATAGCTTCATGATATATGAAGGTGCTGACATACTTTTCAGCAATACAAGGTTGCACCCTCACTTCCTTTAATTCCTTCTTGTTAAATAACATTCATCTTCCAATAGGAAGAAATGGAGCAAAGCTGGGCATGGTGGCACATGCCTGTAATCCCAGCACTCGGGAGGCTGAGACAGAAGGATGGTTTCAAGTTCGAGGCTGGCGTGGGCTACAAAGTGAGCTTAAGGCCAGCCTGAACTACATAGTGAGACCCTGTCTCAAAAAGACAAAAAAAGAAAAAAAAAAGAAATGGAGCACAACTATTTCAACTCTATTTATCCAGACTCCTTGCTTCCAAGGATAGCTATGGAGCCATCTTAAACATTTGAAATCTCTTAAAGTCATTGGCTTTCCATTAAAATGTACTTCTATATATACTATCTGTGAAGAATTCACTGAAGCATGAATCACCATATGAGATAAAAACATCAAAATGCACACAAATGTGGGTAATCTGTACTGAATATATTTCAGCCTCCAAATCTAAAGCATATACCAGCAAAATCTATTACAGCGCAACTAAGGTTAAAATCTCATTTTAAAACACTGTTCTGCATCAATTCTCAGAAGACATGTTACAGGACCACACAAGTAACTATTTAGCAGGAGGCCAAGGAATGCCAATTAGAGATGAAAGCCTTCGCTTTTAAAGGATAAAGTGGTCCTTTGGAGATTGCTGCTTCCCTTAGGCATTTACTTTAGGGAAGGTCACTACTATAAGGAAATACTCTGTGGGATGGGGCTTAGTGGTAGGGCACATACTTAGCATGTGCGAGACCCTGGGTTTAATCCCTAGTACTACAGAAAATAAAAAAAAAGATCAACTTACAGGTATAGTATAGGCAGATATGTGCTCAATTTTATCTTATAATCTAGATAATATATTAAAGATGTAATGAATTCATTTTTCCTTTTCAAATGAAAACCTGATAAAAAGCAATAACAAATGACAATGATCAAATGAAATAATTTAGATGAACCCTTACCCTCTGAAAGGGTTGGGAACTGGCCAAGTGGTCAAAAGCTGTGTGCTATTAACTGTGTGAAGAATAGCATTCAGTTCCATGTTGCTAAACATAGTTCTGTGTCTGCCGTATAAATCCTCTACAACTCATCACTGACCAAATGCTTTGCTAAAACTCCTCTTCTGGCCCGTGTTTTGGGATCTGTTACTTTTATTGCCACCTCCTGATCTCTGTCCCCTGAAGTTTCTGTTTCCTCCCCGCTGTCCCCTGGAGCCTCTGCTTCCATCTCGCTGTCCCCTGAAGCCACGGCCGCCTTCCCGACCCCTGGAGCCTCGAAATCCTTCCCGTGGTCCTTCCAGCTCTGGCTGCTCTGTGGCCACAGCAAGCTGCCAGCGTCTCGAGTCATGCCATTTCTCCTGTTGAGAGAAGGGTGGTTTTCAATCTGTTTTGATTTTAATTAATTACACTTGGTTTAAGAGGCACGAGGAAAAACATTTCTGTTGCTATTTCTCCAAAAAATAACCAATTTGACAACTCAAGTGCTTTAGAAGGTCACTGGTTCAAAATAACCAGGAGCTACCCTCATGGCCCAAGTGCCACTGACAAGTGGGAAAACAGCCTCACTACGAGAGGTAACCCTCATCACTACACTGCTTTGTTCAACTCAATTGCTACAGGGTCTCCACAGCTGTCAGCGTTCATGAAATATGTTGGGTACAGCTGCATTTCCCAAAGCAGTACTGAATAAAGATGTGCAGAATAAAAAGGAGAAAAGAATACCAAAATTTGAATTGTCAGCTGTCCTTCAGAAAAGGGTTTAGAACTGCTTGCTGTGTTCCATCCTATCATTGTATACTTTCATAATGAACACTATAATTTAGGTATGCTAACTTTAAAATCCAAGAGAAAATACCTGTATTTCTGTAACTGCAGCAGTACGGACATCAAAACAAACACCCTAAAAATCAAAGCAAACCGCAGTTAATCCAACCACCACACATTAAGTGATACAGTAAAAACATCAGCTATCAGTCTTCTTTGCCTGGAGGTTTAGAATTATATTCTAATTATTAATTAGAATATAATAATTAGAATTAATATTCTAATTATATTAATTAATACCACCGGGTATTAATTTTAGATGAACTTTAATCTAAGGCCAATCAATACATTGTAACTACCAAAATCACAGTAGCTCAAAGTCAAAGAATATTTTTAAAGACTTGGAATGATTTGCAACCTCCTATTATACATATTCTTGGCCCCATACTAATCCCCAAGCAGCTATCTACTTTAAAAAAATAAAAAATAAAGAGAAAGGTATATTTTGGGCAAGGCTCCAGATATTGTGACAAGTTCCCCTTTAAATCTGGAATCCAGAATGCCACCATATGGACCCCCTCTGCCAAGGGAAAAGAGGCTGGCTGACTTGTCTAACCCAAAATACTAAGTATCTTCCTCTCCCTGTTGCCAGTATAATTTCCCCAATTATAACCAAGGTGCAACCTGTACTGACGGATTCTGCCATTTTTAGGACCCTTCATTCACATATGAAGGATTTAAGCATATTATGACAGGCATTCATTCTCTGGGGCACAGCAGATAAAGACAAGTTTGCCCTGGAATAGGTCATACTACTCTGGAGGCTCTCATTAAGCAAATGCAGCCAGGTAAAATTTGCCTGGACGAATATGAAGCCGGAACAACTGCAAAGTACAGATAAAGATGACTCTGACCCTGCCTGGAAAGACCGGAGAAGTTTCACAGGAAGATTTAAAGCTAAACAAAGTCAGAAAGGTCACTGTAAAGGGCAAAATGCTACACATAGTGGGTTCGCCCTGCACCCTGAATGAGAAAGCACAGTATACTTGGCTCGGCTGCAGGAAAGGGTATTGGCAGTGAGGAGAAGTTAGGGCAGGCTTATCTTCAACCTACTGAAGACAGCTCACTGCCTGTCTGGAGAACACTGTTTACCTCTGCAAGCAACTCCGTGTTACCTTTGGGACAAACCTGATACCCTTCAGGAGTTCCACAAAATTGTAACAACTTTTATAATATTAGTTGGGCATTATCTCTGTCCTTCTCACTCATTCTCCCAAAAAGATATAATGAAGCTTCCCAGGTTTAGAAAGTAAAGACTTTAAATTTTAAACTTGAATTCAAGATTCTGAAATTACTTGATTAAGCCATGTAGGTGAAGATGTGAGGGAGGCAATTAGACCTTATGTCTGACATTGTACACAGAATACTTTAGACTGGACACACAGAATAGCTGTCAACTGAGGACCAGGCAAGAGACTGCCCAGTGATGACGAGTGAGAAGGTGCACCATCCCCACTGGGCAGGGAGGGGATAGCATGCTCTTCTCCTGCCCAAATGAGCTAATGAACCCCTGGGAAGTTATGACAAAGTACACAGCCTTACCAGCTTCCCTTTGAGAAAGACCATTCCCTTTACTTTGGAATCAATATCCTCACCCAGTTGCTCCTTAAGTTCTTTCCAAGCATAACTAATGTTTGGCATTTCAATTGAGCACCGCAAGATCATGGTCACAAAACCCTTATGGAAGAAAGAATAAAATTAGCCACAAAAACAAGCTTACATTATAAATAACCTCACAATTCCATAGTATTCCTGGAACAGTTCTTTCTAAAAATATACAATGAACACACATATTTAGCACATGTAAAACTAGGGAACTTTTAGTAAGACTAGTGGCTTTTATTGATGTCAATATCCTGGTTGTGAGTTTCCTAAAATATTACCAGAGGAAACTGGGCAGAGTATACAAGGGATTTTTATGTTATGTCTTGTGTGTGTGTGTTTGCTGTGCAGTCCAGACTGGCCTCAAACTCATGGTAATCCTCCTCTTTTAGCCTCCAAAGTGTTGGGATTATAGGCATGCGCAGTTATGTCTTTCAACTACAAGTCAATCTACAATTATCTCAATAAAAATTTCAAAACTCCAATCTAAACAAGGGAAAAAAAAGCATACATGTTCTAAGGTTTCCATGATGGCAAAATGATGTAACATTTATGTGTATACACGTTCAATGTGCACCTCAGTGCAGTTTTAAAATACATTCAAAAGTTTACATCCATCACCATTATCTGGAATTGGAGAACACTTCATCTCCACAAACAGCATAGGGTGTGTCCATCTGTAATCCCTGCCACCCAACCCCTGCAACCACGAATCTATTTTGTCTTGATTGATTTTAAATTAGGAAAACAGTAAAACAGATTTAGCACCTTCTTAAGAAAGTAAAAATTGGTAAGTTTAAATGAATCCTTGCAAATCTGCTCAAACCCCAAATTATAAGGTGTAGAAGCTTACCGCCTCTGAATTGATCAAAGAGCGCTGGTCTACTGATGTGGCACCTGAAATGTGGGCCAGTGCTGCCGCGAGGGCCTCCACAGCTCCCTTCTCCTCTATCAGCTTCTCAGCTGACTGTTTGAAGTGGCCAATGGCAGCAGGAGGTACAGAATCCAAAAGCCTGGATTTGATAGTATATTTGTTAAGGAAAAGGTCAGTAGACGACACCACAGCACGACATATAATATGTACCAATAATTTTTAACTGTGCATTAACATGGTCTTATTACAAACAGAAAAAATGAACACACACAACAAAATGGCATACCATCATTAAAAGCAATGATATAGTCGTGTGTGGTAGGGCATGCCGATAATCCCTATCTCAAGAAACTAACAAGAACAAGAACAAGTAATGTCAAACTCTGTAATTCCAGCACTCTGGGAGGTTGTGGCAGGATTCCAAGTTTTAGACAATGCTGGGCAAAAATTTTAAAAGGTGAGGGTACAAGTTGGTGCAAGGCCTCACCTGGGTTCAATCCCCACTCTGCAAAAATAATAAGTAAATTGTTTAAACCTTTTTGTTTTATTTATTTTGGTTTTTTGTTTTTTTTTTTTTGTTTTTTTTGTTTTTCTCTGGTACCGGGAACCGAACTCACGACCTCGCGCTTGCCAGGCAGGCGCTTTTGCCACTGAGCTAAATCCCCAGCCCCTTATTTTGTTTTTTTTGACAAAGGTTCTTGCTATGTAGTCCAGGCTGGCCTCGAACTCATGACAATCTTTTTGCCTCAGTTTCTCAAACGCTGGGATTATAAGTGTGCATCACTACTTCTGGTTTTTGTTTTGTAAGTATGTTACTTTACAGTCAGAAAATACTTCAGTTACACTCTGAAATAAAAGATACTTCAAATCAGGTTTAATGATGGAGATTTTTTGTTTTTGTAGTATTAGCAATCAAATTCAGGGGTATTCTAACACTGAGCTATATTTCCCAGTCCTGTTTATTTTTATCTTAAGAGAGGTCCAACTAAGTTGCCTATGCTGGTCTCAATCTTTGATCATTTTGCCTCAACTTCCTCAGGGGTGGGATTACAGGTGTGCATGCTGAGCTCAAGACAAGGACTCTCATGAAACTATGTATTTGACTGGGGGGTTGCTATTATCTTGGTAGTAATCATCATCACACTTCACAGATGAAAGAGATATCTTCTTGTGACAGGGCTACCACTCTAGAGGCCATCTCTATAATCTATCAGCATTTTTCTCTTTTCTTTTTAGCTATCTAATCCCAAATCTCCAAAACTGGCACCCTAGGGAGTCTTGTTTGCAGGACTCTTAGAAGTATGAGGGAGTAGCTAGGTATGATGGCACTGCCAGTAGTCCTACCACGCAGAGGCATTAGGCCAGCCCAAACTATATAACAAGACCCTAATCAAAAAACAAAGCAGGGCTGGGGATATAGCTCAGTGGCACAGCACCTGCTTGGTAAATGTAAGGTCCCGAGTTTGATTCTCGGTACCAAACAAAACAAAACAAAACAAATTACAAATGTAGAAGAATGACATACAGTACCAAAACTTCAAAGCTCAATCACATCAAAAGCATGGGGGAATGAACATGAGCAAAATATATGCATTGAACCCCCAAATATGAAACTAGGGGAGAGGATGGGGCCAGATGGTAAGGAGGAGGTAAAAATGATCGAAGTCCACTATGTGTGTGTGTAAAATGAAGCCATTTACCTGTACAACCAATTTAAAAGATTATTCAGCATTTCCTTTCATCAGACTTCTTCTGGCTTTTTAAAAATTTATAATAGATACATTTAAAGTAATCCATCTACAGACCAAATAATTTTTCCCCCAGTACTAGGAACTGAACCCAGGGCCTTCACATAGCTAACCATAGCCTTTTATTTTTTATTTTGAGGCAGGGTCTCATAACTTGCCCAAAGGCAGGCTTCAAACTTGTAATCCCTACTGTCTCAGACTCCCAAAGTGCTGGGATTATAAGCACGTGCTACCATACCTGGCTCCAAATGATTCTTAATTGTATGTTTGAGTCCAGTCAATTAGCGTGAGGACAACTACACCCATAAATTTCAACTCCATGATTATTTCTGTGCTTGCTTCCTTCTTTTCTTTCCTGAATAATCCTTTCAGATACGGCTCAAGATAGCAAGTGCAAGGTCTGGAGTTTAATTCCCAGCACCAAAAATAAAAACAAAAGATACGGCTCAAGGGAGCGTTTATCTTCCTGTATTTTGCCTGTTGCTCTCTAAGGCAAGATCTGATGCTTGTTGTCAGGTCCAGTGGTCTCTTAAAGGGAAGCATCCTGTCATCACAAAGGTCCTTGGGAAGCTTTTTAACGTGAGTACTTCACACGTCTATAGTAGTAATTGTAAAAAGCACTCTAAGAATGATTCTCACACTCAGTAACTCCTTAGCAGGGGATGTAGCCCACCACTAGGAGACAGATGGAAAATGGTTTTTGGTTTCCATAACGCCACTCCAAGAGTATGCTGCACAGAGGCAACAACAGTCAGGGATCCAAAACAGCTAAGTATCCTTCAGCTAGGACAATCCCATAAAGTAATGCTCTTGCTCCCAGTGCCTGTAATACCTACACTGACAGCTTCTCATCATCTGGGGTATTTATTAAAGCTTGAAAGAAATGATCAAGGCTGGTGTGGTGCCACATGCCTATAATCTCAGCTACCTAGGAGGCAGAGGCAGGAGAAATCCAAGTTCAAGGCCAGCCTGGACAATTTAGTGAGACACTGTCGCAAAATAAATTTTTAAAAAGGGCCAGAGAGCTGGTCATGTTGATATATGGCTATAATCTTAAGATTGCAGAGGCTGAGGTAGGAGGATCTCCACAAGCTCAAGGCCAGCCTGAACTACATAGGAAGACTCCCCGACAAAGCAAACAAACCACAAATAAGTAAATAAATGGCTGGAAATATAGTACACATGAGGCCCTGGGTTCAATCCCCAGCACTACAAAAATCAATCAGTTTTTATTCTACCGTGCAGGGGACTAACAGTGAAAATCTGAAAGAGAACCTGTGATTAATCAGTCACTGGATGTGAAGCACTGACATATCTGAGATACCATTCTTTAAAATGTCTAAAATAAACCAAACTGGGTAGAGACAAGGGGAAATGAGGATATTTACTTCATCAAATTCTACCTGGACAGTCTGAGAGTTTTTACAAGCAGATTCTCAACTGTTAGAAATATCAAATAAAGAACATGAACCTTGATCCCTAGCACTGCAAAGAAAAACAAAAAAAAGGCCAAATCTGTACTATAGTGATGTTCAGCATATAGCACGAGCACCGACGCAGACCTCAGTGACAATGGGGAACGTACCTGATAGCATCTTTGCTAGAAGCTTTTATTATTTCTGTTGGAGAAGGGACTCCTATTCGTTTAAATTTAATTCCCTATAAGAAAACCCATAATGTAATATATAATGGCCATTAGTCATTTCCATCAAGATTAGTAAGCTCCTAATATTTTTATATCTATGAAACACTGTACTTGTTACATTAAAAATAAACTGTTACATTAAATAAGCTTTTATTTTTGTTTTTTTACCATTATTAAGTTTACTGGTACAGTTTAGATATACAAAATGATCACATTTATCATATGGAACTTGTACCCATACATGATATACCCTGATTTTTTAAAAAACTAAATAAGCTTCTAGTTTTAGATGTACATACAAACTGCCCAGACAATACAGAGTTCCTAGATAGCATGCACCAAGTTCCAGCTAGCCACACCCTATGATACCCAGGCACGCTTGTTAAAACTAAGAAATCAGTATCGTTATGCTTAGACGGGCTCCTGAGTTTTGAGGGGGAATTAGTCACATGGCCCCGGTAATGCTCCCTGGGCTGTGCACTCTGAAGTCCTCACACCCACCATACTCTAAGTCACTAAGTGCAGCTCTCTCTAGGGTGAGGGGGAGGTCAGGCTTCACCTCTTGGAGGAGGAAGTATCTATATATATTACTAAAATTCTGTAAGGAAAATTAAGTCTCTCCCTTATCCTTCTGATACCTCCATCCTTTTGGTTTTGAAGCAATTCCCTAACTTTCTGGTCTGATTACATATTTTTGATATGTTCACATTATCTTTCTCTAAACATTGCTTTTCACATTGAAAAACAAACTCCTTTTTAAAAATACAGTGTTATTTTAAAATAACTTCATGCAATAGTACAATATATAAACATATATATCTATTAAGCTTTCAGCCATGGCCATATGGTAGAAATAAGAATAGTAACTTAAAAGTTAATAAAAATTGAATACAGAAACCAAAGACTGACTTTAGAATTCAACATAACTGATGAATAAAAGGAAAAGTGTTTTACCGCTTTCTGCTCCACTTGGGCTAACTGATATTCTTCCTTGTGCTGGTAAAAGCAGATGCAAACCCCTGTCCTTCCAGCTCTGCCCGTCCGCCCAGAACGATGAATGTAGGACTCTACATCCTATCAAAGGAAAATGTGAGTGATACAGAAAAGAGGTGCACACCTTAGCAGCCCAGAAAACCTAGTCAGTGAAGACCAACCATGGAGGGACCAGGGAGGACACTTACCACTCCAAGCAAATCTGCATACAGCACTGTCTCTAAATAGCACATGCCCAACAGATGTAGATATGTATTTTCAACTTTCAAGTTTTTGAAAGAGGATTAAGTTAATTTTAACAGTTTATTTAACTACATATACCTAAAGCCTTATGAATTCAGAATGCTACCTATAGAAATATAAGTTACTGGGCCAGGGATATAGGTCAGTGGAACAGTAACTGCCTGGCAAGCACGAAGTCCTAAGTTTAATTACTGGCACCAAAAAAAAAAAAAAAAAAAAGAAGAAAAAGAAGAAAAGGAATACAAGTTACCAACAAGTTTTTTTTTTTTTTACTTCCAGGTAAAACAAAAGTCTCACCGGCTTAAAACTTGAGATCCTCCTGTCTCAGCCTCCTAAGTTTTGAGATTATACATGTGGGCTACCATGCCTGGCTCCCAATTAAGATCCAGCTTCCAACTGAGATAATACATGTCAATTAGACTACCCACATTTCAAGTGCTCAGTGGCTACATGCGGGGGCTAGGGATTTAGCTCAGCAGCACAGTGCCTGCCTAGCAAGCGCAAGGTCTTGAGTTCAATTCCCGGTACCAGAAAACAAACAAAAACGAACAAACAAACGAACAAAAAAATAGCTACATGGGGCAGGTAGTTACCCTATCGGACAGTGTAAGTCTACAGGCTTGTGAGGCAATGTCTATATCACATACTTATGGGATTATCTTTGTAGAATCAATGAGGGGTAAGGAATATAGCTTAGTGGTATAGGGCTTGCCTCACATGAGTGAGGCACTGGGTTTAATAAAACTTAAAAAAAAAGAAAAAAAAGACAAATTCATAATAATCAGGTACTTTTTCTGTCACTGTAATCAGTAGAAGGAAAGCAGCATTCAAAATTGAACCCAGGGAAGCACTAAGCTACATCCTCAACCTTTTTAAAAGGCTTTTAATATTGAGATAGGATCTAAGTTGCCTGGAACTTTCAATCCTCCTGTCTCAGCCTCCTGAGGAGCAGGGATTACAGTCACATGTTACCCATACCCAGTCTGAAAGCAATCATGAGGGACCTGGGGGAAAGTTATGGAATATTCACACTGGTAGTGCTGGGAACAGACTTATTTAGACTTTTACTTATTTATTATTTATTTTGTTTGTTTGTATCTTTTTGAGACAATCTTGCTATGCAGTTCAGGCTGACCTCGAACTCCCCATGATCCTCCTACCTCAGCCTCCAGAGTGCTGGGATTACAGGTGTGTACCACCACACCCAGCTAAAGTGACTTTTATTTATATAAGCACCATCTACATCACATGAACGGCTTCAGGACCCTCCCTGAAATGTTCCATAATCCACAAACCTCAGCAACTAGAACCACAGAGGTTGCTGAGTCCAGGCCTTGTCTTCCTTCTAGCTTGTAACATTTGCACGCCCTACAGCCATCCCTAGTGTAAGTGCTACCAACTTCAAGGGCCCACTCAAAAAAGTAACACCTCCATGAAGGCTTCTAGGACTCCCCTTGAAGCAGAAGCTATCTTTCTAACCTCTAAAACATCAGCTGTCAGTTCCAAGGGGAGGGTCCCACATAACAGGTTCATTTTCAAAATCACCCTTACATCCTAGCACTCAAGAGATTGCTACTACTCACCACACTTAAATAAACATAACAACTTTGTTTTATACCCAAAAGAAACAAAATAAAATCTAGGTATAAAATCCATACCTTTGGTGGACAGCTTTGTACAACCAAATCAACCTCAGGGATATCTAATCCACGTGCTGCAACGTTGGTTGCCACCATAACTCCAAAGTCACCATTTCTAAAACCTTTTAGGGTGATTTCCCTTTGCTTCTGTGGAATGTCTCCATGTAATGACTGGGCATCCTGCAAAAAAAATTAATTGACCTAAGAATACCAGATCCAACAATACATGCTCAATTAGTCCTATAAAAGACACTTATATTTTTGTGACATTCCTGTCAAGAATATTACAAAAGGAGAAAATAAAACATGTGCCTTCTTACATGGACAAACATCCAAATTATTTCCAAATCCTCAGCAATTAAATTAACGATGCTAAGGTTGAGAACACTACACAGGACTGACTAAATCTAAACTGTCAGTGCTTCAATGTGCGCCTCCTCTTTCCTCATCTGTAAGCTAAGGCTGATGGATCAGGTAAATTCTAACGTACATACTTAGAAACAAGAAGATTCCTTTTACTTAACCTAAAACAAATTGGGAATTACAGGATGAATGAAAAACAGACTAAGCAGACATACTAATGGGACAATGGGCTATTATTGCCCCAGCTTCTCAGGAATGAGAAGGACCAACCTGCTTTATTGATGCATTCTGTGACAGCTCCTGGGCTTCTTTCTTGGTTTCACAAAAGACGATAGTGCGCCCTTGATGGCCACTGTATACTCGGATCACGTCTCCAATAACTGCTGCCCTCTGAGTCCAGTGGCACTTGATAGCCAGATGCTTTTGAGAAGAAACATCTATTTAGTAACACTTTGCTGGAACCTAAAATTACCTGTTCAATTCTAACAGTCTATGTCTTCATATAGGAAAACAACTGCTGAAGCCTGACAGAGCAGACTGCTGCTACCACTGCTTAGAGAACAAACAACAAAACTGTGATACCTCAGTTGTCAAATGGCACCAAGCTCAAACTTTCCACTACTTGAACAGCAAAGTTTGATTAAAAAAAAAAAAATCTGCTCAGTGTTTGTAACTCTCCTCAACGGTTGAACCAAAAATCCAACTTGAAAAAAACCTGTATGGAGTATGAGTGAGTCACTTATCAAATTTCACTCTGGACACCAAGGGGTGACCTTCAGTCTGAGCACTGCTCTTGTCCAGACAACATACAGAGCTTGTTAGTGAGTTGAAACAAGCGTCACTGTGTGTTTTCTTTTTGCACTTTAATTGTGTAAAACATCATAACATCATAATCATGGCTCCAAAGAAAGTTGGCGACACCAGCAGCAAAGCTAAGAGGAAAACTGTGAGAACCATAACAGAGTTTAAGAAACAAAACATTGCAAAATTTGTTGAAGTCTTGGAAAACTAAAATTTTAAGTGTAATTTTTGGGTCTTCGAACCAATTAATTGGTTTTCCATTATTTCTTACTTTTTGGTGTTCAAATATGAATTTGGAACACACTGAGTTCAACAACTGAAGCATTACTATAAATACACCACTAATGTAAAAAGCAACATGACCTGTCCCCGTGGCCCTCTTTTATCCAAACAGCATCAGGCCTAATTTTCTGACTTAACCAGAAAACAGAAGAAATGCCATGCTCCAGATTCCGACAGGAAATTAAGTATATTATGTGAGAAGTTTCTCTGTGTTCTTCCCCTTCATCCACGTAAAATCTGTAGTCAGTTATTGTACAGGTCTACTCCTTGGGTGAAATGAATTCATCTAGGTACCAGACCACAAGATGAAAACAGCCATAAGAAAAGACATTAAATTTCCCTGCTGTCCACTAGTATTTCAATTCTAAGTGTAACTTCTTTATTTATGCAATTCAGGTATATTTTGGTTACAAATGATTCCAACAAAACAAAACCAAACAAAAAACCCCCAAATGATTCTGAAATCAGGCTATCAGATGATGAATTTTAGAAAACAGATACTGCTGGGTGTGGCACTGCACACCTGTAATCCCAGCACTTGGAAGGCTGAGGCAGCAGGATCACAGTGAGTTAGAGGCCAGCCTGGGCTACATGGTAAGTTCAGGGCCAGTGTGAACTGCATAGTGAGACCCTATCCCAAAAAAACAAAACAAAACAAAAACACTGACATCATATACAAATCAAATAGAAATACATCTTTATGTGGCTCTTCATATGGATTTAGTAGTGTATTTATCTAGAAAAAAGAGCTTGAATTTGCCAGTCTTAATACTTACTTAGACAGGAAACAAATATTAACAGATTTTATAATTTCAGCAACTAAATAAATCCTTTACCTCCACAGTTATTGCTGTTTTCTGAGTCTTTTTACCAATTAGGTCCACCTGTTCATATGTAGATTTCATGTATTTCTTAGCAACATTAAATACCCAACTTGGGCAAGTTGCAGAAAAAAGCAATGTCTGAGGATTGTCTTCAGAATCTTTAGGGGGGGAAAAAAAGTCAGCATGAATAATTCAAACAAGCCTACAGAGTATTCCACCTCACCCAGTACTTCAGGGGTTCACCAACATTCATCATCAACTACAGGAGGCCAAGCCATGCATTGAGGACACAAAATTCACCAAACACAAGATTCTCAATGGGCAAAGAAATACTGAAATAATTATGTAAAGAACCCTTGAAAGCAGGGTGCAATGGCACACACCTGTAACCCAAGCTACTCAGAAGACCGAAGCAGGAGGACTGCAAATTAAGCCCAGACTAGCCAATGTAGCAAATTAAAAAATGGTCAGAGATGCAGCCCAATGCGAAGACATCGGCTCAATCCCCAGGACCACACACTAAAAAGAATCCCTGCAATACTGAAAGTACATTAAATTTGAAGTTTAATAACCAACAAGTAAAGCTCTCTAAACAAAAAAACTGTAAGAAAACTCACAGATTCTATAATCACTTTACACTCTTTAGTATTTTCTTAGTATTTTATGAATTCAGAATCCCAATTTACTTGTTGAGGTCAGTTATTATTTTTGTTTGCCCGCACTTAAGAGCACCATTGCATTCTCATCACTTTAAATGGCAGTGCAAACAATTCAGCAACATATGAGAAGCACAAACCATTACAACTTTTCTTCAGGGGATGACATCTAGGGACTACATGCTAAGCAAATGCTATACCACTGAGCCACATCCCTACCCACTATTTACAACTTTTAACTAAGTAATTCTGCTTCTGGAAATCTAAAGAATCAACTCTTTATATTGACGTGTGAAGAAATCTACCTTCCTAAGTGTGACTATAAACAGATTTATGTGGAATAAAAAAACCAAAAACTGGAAGGTGGTGGAATCACTGTCACCTTTCAGAGTATTATGGTAAATATTAGTATGTATAGCTAAGATTATAATTAGTATATACACTTGAAACAATGGGAATGCACCAAAAACAAAATAAACTAAGAGAGAGAATATATAATTTTTCTTTTACTTTCCCAGTTACTAAATCATGACTTTTAAAAAAACTTGCCAGGTTTTCCTCAATAAAATTAAGCTGCCTTCCAATTTCCTAAGACTTCCTTTATCTCCGAGAAGACTACTTTCATCACCACCCTTCCTTTGGTCCCTTCTATCAATTCCTTGATTTGGGTGTTTACCTTTCTTGTATGCCACACATAAAATCTCTTCCACTTGATCAGCAAAACCCATATCCAACATCTGGTCAACTTCATCCAGGACAACATGCTTAAGTTTGGAGAGATCCAGCTTGCCATTCTGTAGGTGGTCTTTGATACGACCAGGAGTTCCCACCAGGATATCAATCCCATTCCGCATTCGTTCGACTGTTAAGAAAATCAATAAAAAGATCTGCTGTTTTATACTAGTTCCTTTTACCAGCTTAGGATACTACTTGAATGTATTTTCATTTAAAATACTCATTAGACTGCTACAAAATGATATGCTAAGTAATGAAGACACTAAACGTATTCCTAATCTAGTGGGCAAAACATGTTCAGAAGTGACAGTCCAGGGTACTAAGTGACATGATAGGAAAATGCACCATTGGGGGATGGCAGCATCAAGAAAGAACACTCCTTTGGCTGGGAGAAAATGTCCAAGTTTCAAAATGAAAACTAAGCATTTTTTTTTTTGTCTTTTTGAGACAGGGTCTTGCTATGCAGTTCAGGCTGGCCTTCAGCTCACTTTGTAGCCCAGGCTGGTCTCGAACTCGTGACGATCCTCCTACCTCAGCCTCTCAAGTGCTGGGATTGTGCGCCACTATGTCTGGCGAAAGAATCTTAAATAGGAACTTTCTATAAGGTATGGGAAGGATCAGAAAGACTAGCAGGGCAAATATTTTAACAAAGTATAGAAACACTGGGAAAATAGAGGTTTTCAATGTAACCGGAATGAGATGGTAATGATTCAACTTTTTAATTGAGTTGCTATTGTAGCCCAGGGATCATGCCAGGCACTTTACATATATTATCCAATTCAATTCTCACAACATCCCGGTAGGGTATATTCAGTAGCCTTCTTTTGTAGACAAGAAAACTAAAACAAAAAATAAGCAACTTGAGCATAAAGTCATACACCACCCTTTGAACAAAGGCCTAGGTTTATTTCACCAAAGCTGGAAAAAAATAAACATAAGCTTTGCATTCTAATCCTGGGACTTTTAAATTCCTTCATGACTTTCATAATCACTCTGCATACTACAGCTGCAAGGTCCTGACAGGAAAGTAGTAATGGGGTGAGGCCCGCAACACTAGGCTGCTAGCCTCCCAGTTCACAGAAAGCCTACCTCCAGCAAGAAAGAAGCATATATAAAGAGTAACCTTAAAAAAAAAAAAAAAAAAGGTAACCTTGAGCCAGGGATGTAGCTCAGTGGCATAGTGCCTGCCTGGCAAGCGGAAGGTCCTGAGTTTGACTGCTGGGTATGTGTTGAGGGGTGAGCGTAACCTTGAATTCTGACTTTCTTTTCCTCAGGACTCTACTAGACTCTGTCCTCTTGAGCACAACAAGATACTTTTGTAGTCTTTAGGTAAATACTGACAGAAAATGCAGAGTTCTAAGAATCATACACAGGATTTAGCCAGCATCTCTCAGGACCAAGCTCTCAACTATGTTTAAATAATGGCAAAAGAGAAGCACCATAAAATATTGGGCAGGTAAAGAAGACAGGTGTCAAGGAATTCAGTTACACAAACCAGAACAGATGCCATTTTCCTTCCACTTTGTGTGTGTGTGTGTGTCTTTTGGAGACAGGGTCTGTCTATGCAGTTCAGGCTGGCTTTGAGCTTGCTTTGTAGGCCAGGCTGGCCTCGAACTTGCAACAACGCTCCTGCCTCAGTCTCCCAAGTGTTGGGATTACAGCCGTGTGCCACCACACCTAGCATTCTCCTACTTTTGAATTTACTTACTTTGACCTCCATATGGCGTTCCACCATAAAAACAAGCCACTGCCAGCTTTTTCGTGATGTCACTGAAGTCTCTGCTTACTTGATTTGCCAACTCCCTTGTAGGTGCAAGAACAAGTACCTGAAAGAGAAAAACCCATTGAATTTCAAGTATTGTACAGTATTTATTTCTTAATTATGTTGGAATTGACCTGAAAATTCAACTCATCCTATTTGTTCTGAAATGCATCTGTTACAGGCTTTGCAATGTTCTATGCGTCTGTGTTAAGGATCGTAAGTATAACACAGTTCCTGATAAATATATTCATAAGAAAAGCTCATGATCACACCAATCAGAAAAGAAGTACCTAAATACGTGGAGCTCAAGGAGGGCTCCACGGAGCTGCCTGGAGGAACTGCAAGTTTCAAGGAGCACCATTTCAGCAAAAGAGCAACCTGAGTAAAAAGCTATACTGTGGACAATAACATAACCAGTATTTGCGCTTGGACCCTCGTTTATATGTATTTAAGTCTCACAACAATCTTTTGATATAGATTATTTTTTGCACATAAATATTCCTTTACGATAGGCAAGAACATCTATGTTATTCTAATAATACAAAGAGAAAACATGTAAATTATATTGAGGGACTGCCTTACCTAAAATTACAAAATTAAGCATTATGTGTATATATTTGAATTCTTTTATTTCTATTCCATCCTTTGTCTGAACTTTATTAATATCAGCCCTTCTTAATACTCCTCTTATGAAAGGCATCACTACCCTGTCACTCAAGCCAAAGCTCTCCCTTCCTCCTTTACCAGTGCCCCTGCCCCATGAACTGTTAACAAGACATCTTGTATTTCCCTGGAATTAATCTTTTTCATTAGAGTTCCCCTTTGCAATTCCATTTTTTCATAAGTGCAGCATGTGCGATTTTAATTGCTGTCACGGTTTTTTCTTCTGTCAGTGGTGATAGCTTGCTGCTGCATCAGGACATATTCCAGCCTGTACTAACATATTCCAGATCAGTCAGTTTTGTGAAACATTAGTTCCAGTTTACTAGCCTCTGCCTCCATATTGAATAGTTCTGAAGTAGATTATTTGACTAAAACCAAAAGGATACTTAGAGGTGGAACCTGGATTTAAATTCAGGCAGCCAGGTTCTAAAACCTGTAGTCAAGAGAGCTCCTCTACTCAAAATGCCTTCTCCTTCTAGACAGAAATTGCCAAAAATATTTAACCAAACCCGTGAGTCCCAGCCCCAGGCATACCTAAAAACTGAAAGTGAATATGATGAACATTAATAACACAGTGGATCACAAACATGAGACAGACCACACTACTTTAACTTCAGATAATGATTCCCAGTAAACACAATGGGGACTTTAAAAGGAAACCAAATTAAGTAGTAGGACTTAAGCCAGGTTCCTAAAATGCTTTCTCTGTGCTGACTTGGAGCCTGACATGTGTTTAAGATAGTTACCTGCGGGGCACGGCCTCTCTTCCTGTCTTGCAGCTGCCCTTGAAGTTTCTCTATCAAAGGGATGGCAAAGGAGAAAGTCTTCCCTGTGCCTGTCCGTGCCTGTGCAATTAAGTCTTTTCCACTATAGACATGGTGAAAGGTCTTTGCTTGTATAGGAAACAGGAAGGTCACCCCTCGAGCTGTGAATAAATCAATCATGTTATTACAAATTGTTTTTTGGGGGTAGGTCCTGGGAATCCAACCCAGGGGCTTTTGCACAGTAAGCATACCACCTTTAAAGAAAGAAAAAAAAAAGAAAGCAAAGAAAAGCATGCAACTTGCCACTAAGCTATACCCCCAACTCTAATAAGTGCAATTCCTGAAATACCAGCACCATCCAAAGACTGAAGCAAATCATGTTTGTGGTATTACAGAATATAAGAATTCTACATCTTGATCAGTATCTACAGAGTCAAGTTCAAATACATTCTGGGGGAATCTGACTGAAAAATATTTTTTAAAGTGTTAAATTATATTACTTATTATTTCAAGAAATTAAGCCATTTATCCTAAAAATCTCAGGATAGTATGAACCTTAGAATCTGCTGCTTTGCAATCCAGCTGCTCTACACTTGATTCAGAAAATACCTAGTAGAGCATCTTGAACTATATAGCCTATCCATATGTAGACTGCTGAGTTCTGAGCCAGTCCAGTGTCACTAACCCGGAGGTGACTCATGTATAAGAAAGCATTAACATCTCACTTACTAACAGATTAATGTCATCAGCACTATCAAATCATTACACTTCTGAATGCAGGATAAATTTTAATCTTGAGGCAGGTAAGCTTATCACTATCACAGTCCTATTCTGAATATACTGGTCTAATTCATTTCATGGTTGCATATATTGTTCTACCATAAGAATGTGCCCTGGTTAATAATGTCCTTGCTGAGTTGAACAAAAATGCAAAAATGCTTCCAAATACTATCTCTTCTAACATTACAGAATATACCCAAGACTATTACCTTTCAGAAGCTTAACAGTCTCTTCAGATATGGGAAAATTAGAGAAAGCACCTTCTTTTTGTTCCACAGGTATTTCCTATCAAGTAAAGCACCACAGCAGCAATCAATAACACATACAGATTAATAAAGGTCTTGTAAGGAAGAAACAGCTTATTCTAAAACAACTCTTCTAAATATATCAACCTTAAAATCATTCAAAAAACCACAAACTCTGGTATAGGTGAAGATCTGGAAAAGGAAAAATTAGTAATATTTATAAAGCCCTACCAAAACAAAATTGCAGCAAATACATTCTGTAAATTCACTGTGTTGTAACTAGTAAAGGCAGATTTCAGTTTCAATTAAGAATTACCCTACAACCATCTCAAACCAACAATACTGTTGAACAGGTCTTTAGTCCTTTTACACAGCAACATCCTCCATATAGATCAACAGAAAACATGGAACAGTGCCAGGCATAGTGGTGCACACCTGTAATCCCAGCGCGTAGGAGCCTGAGATTTTCATCCTGTAACTCAAGGTACCCATCCATGAAGTGCTTAGATCAAATTTCCTTCTACTAAGATAGTATGAATAGTAAATACCTATTTATTTTTTTGAAACAATGAAAGATACAGTCCACCTATTAAAGTCCAACTATACCTGCTCTATCTCACTGTTACTTCCTTCACTGGCAGCATCATTGGAATCAGCTTCTGGATGAGAGAACCCATTTTTCAGTTTGGGGCTTTTCTCTCCAATTTCTCCATTCACTTCTTTTTCTTTCTTCATTTTTTTGGGCTTAGGAGCACCTATGTCTTCTTCAGAAGGCTCTCTACTTTTTACTGCTTTTTTGATTTTAGGTGAGACAACTTTCTCTCCAATGGGCTCTTTTTGTTTTTTTGTACTTTTGGTTTTAGGGAAAATAACCTCATCTTCAGGTGGCTCCTCTTGCTTTTTGGCCTTTTTGGATTTAGAATGATTCATGTCAACTTCAGAAGGCCCTGTTTTCTTAACACTTTTAGCTTTGGAAGAAATAGTTTCTTCCTTTCCTTCTGGTGACTCCTCAGTCTTCTCAGATTTTGGCTTCTCTTTTCTACCTTTCTGAAAAATTCACAGAGAAAATACAGACACTGAACAATGCATCTATACACTTGTATTATCCATCAATAATTAACAATTTTATCATCTTTGAAAATCAAGAGTGCCCCTTAGTAAACTACCTATTCAATTCATATTGGTCAAACCATTTTAAAGCCAAATTTTCCTGAGATTTGAAGTGGCTCAAGGGACTCTCTAACAGGTGCTAAATACTATACAAAGTGATTAATACTGTTCAAATTTAATTTCAATACAGAAGTAATGCCAAATATGTTAAACAGATTTTCTTCTCCCTGGTAAAATTCCTTACCAATTATAACAGATTCATAGTATCTGCACTTTTCCCATCTCACAAGAGCAAATGAATAAACAAATACATTTAATGAGGGAAAAAAATTCAATATATCATCCCATGGTGAAAAAAGAAAAAGCGAACATACTAAAAGTCAAGCAACCTCAAAACCAAACCAGACACAGATGACAGGTGTTAAGTTTCTGATCCCCTCCAACTTTTCATATTACTGAAAACTTACAATGGACAAGTGCTCTTACCAATCACACAGGTATGGAGACTACACTCAACTAAGAATCTGCCTCCCTAAAACTTCAGGCCCTGTCCCTCCTCTCAAACCACAGCGTAAGGGTAATCTCTCTGACACAGGGTCACACTTCCGCTATCCCACAATTGAACACATTCATGCAGAAAGTAAACCATGATCACTACATTCCACCGGTGGGTAACAAACCTGTGTGCTCCCTAAACTGCCTATAATCCCAAAAAACAGCAAGGAAAAAACACTCTTAAATCTTGTTTGTTTTGCTTTTTGGGGGGTATTGGGAATTTAACTCAGGACCTCACACTTGCCTGGCAGGTGCTGCGCCACTGAGCTGTACGCCTGGCCCCGCTAAGTCTTGTAAAACACGAGTTTAGGGACAATCTTCGATTCCACAGACTTTACCTTAGAATAGACTTAGAGTTAAACGCTATCAAGGTCGTAACAGTCAAGAAGCAGACGGCTACCAAGGTAATTTAAGACCTCAGCTGACTGAACACTGCTGGCCTATGTAAGAAACAGCGTGTTGGGCCGGGGATGTAGTTGCCCGGCAAGCGCAAGGTCCCGAGTTCGATTCCTGATACCAAAAAAAAAAAAAAAAAGAAAGAAAGAAAGAAAGAAGGCGTTCAGGTAACAACCCCAACATGTCACTACACTTCACGGGAGGTACGGCCCGTGCGCACTACGAGGACGTGAATGACCTCATCTTCTACGGGCTGTTTACAGAAGACAAGCTGTACTTCCCTTACTACAGGGGAAAAAGTCCCTGGAGACGCCGCCACGTGTGCGGATGGGTTTAAGGTCTCCTCACTCTGAACTTTCAGTCCCACTTTCACCCGATTTACAACTCCCTCCGCGCACGCTCACGCGCGCGACAACGTGGGGCCTAACCGCGAGCGCCCAGCTCGGCGCGCCGGGTGTCCCGGACTGGCGGACGCTCCGGGGTGAGGTCGGCGCCACAAGGCCGCCAGGAGGGCAAGGTGTTCCGCGGCCAGGGCGCCACCTCGGACGCCGCCGGCCGGGCCCCAGGCTCTGTCGGGCCGCGCGGGTCCTCGCCGCCTGCCACGCGCTCCCAGCACCGCCACCCCTCCGGACCCCGCGGCCCGCTCCTCTCGGCGTCCGGGCGGACCCTGCCTCGCCCCAGGTCGCTCGGTATCACCTTCTCGTTTCCTTTCTTTTCCATGGCCGTGTCTGATTCCAATCCCGCGTTAGTACGAAGTTTCCCCGGCATCACTCAGCACACGTTCCGAGGCCGGCCGGTCTCCTCAACCGCGTGCAAAGAAAGAGGGAGTACAGCCCCTCGGCCCACCCAGCGTCGTCACTTCCTGTAGCAAGGCACTTCCGGCGGAAGCTGGGGACGCTTGGAAGTTTGGGGCCCACGCGATGGGGATGTGAGGGCGATCGGATGTGAGGGCGGATGTGAGGGCGATCTGGCAGCGACATCTGTCGCCCCATTGATCGCCAGGGTTGAATCGGCTGATCTGGCTGGCCGGGCGGGTGTCCTCTTTCTCCCTCAACGCTCTAAGTGCGTCCCTCCCGAAGCTGCGCGCTCGGTCGAGGAGGACGACCACTCCCGACCTAGGAGGATCGGTCCTCGGTCAAGGGTGTATGAGTAGATGCGCTCCCCTGCTAGAACCTCCAAACAAGCTCTAAAAGCACCTGCCGCCGACAGTGTCTGAGCTTAGTGAATAGACCACTGAAGTCCCTTGGAGTTAGCGTATGGCACCGAGGGTGGAAGCGGACGGAAACCCAAAGATTAGTTTTGTATGCTCATTCCGACTCTGGCCGAATTTCTCGCTAGTCCTGCATGATAAACGAAGACTTACAGTTGCTTTTGAGTGGCGTCTCTTCAGTGTTGTGGGATTGCTTGTTTGCAAGGTCCTTTCACATCTGAAAGGACGGTGTTCTTAACCTTCTTGTGGAAACCTTTTGCAGCTGACGGCCAAACTCACGAGCCTGAATACGAGTAAGAATTCGGAAGGTTCTGGTCGTTTGTAAGTACACCTAGCAAACGTCCCCTGATCATTTATTGTGAAGTATGAGAAACAGAGCTGGGATTCAGTAGCCTTCTCCAGCCTTATAGCCGGGCCATGTGCCCTGTCCCTGAAATCCAGCAATTCAAGAGGCTGAGGCAAGGAGGATTGTGTGACGTGAAGGTCAGTCTGGGAAACATAACGAGACCCTGTGACCCCCCCCCCCATTGTAGACTAATGTGGGAGACAGATATCAGTGTTTGTTTCTCAGAAACAGTGACGCCTAGCTCAATCTCGGAGCCAGTAAAGGAAGAGCCCAAACCATGTAGACTTCCATTAGAAACTAACAGGGGATCCTAAGTCGTGTATAATTTGGACAATATACTACTTCAGAAGCAGTATAAACAGAAGGAAAGTTGTCCGTTCAGTGAGCAATGGCAGTGTTACTGGGCTTTTTCTGAAAAACTAGCAATTCAACAATCTGGGAGTTTGTCATAGTTTAAAAAATGGATGAGAATATTGCCTGCCATTTGCTTTGTGATTTTGAACAATTTGTTTAACTTGAACCCGAGTTTCTCGCGTATCAAAAGGGGATAACGGGACAGAGACATAACTTGGCGCGATCCTGAGTTCCATTCCCAGTACCGGAAAATAAAACAAAGCAAACAGCCTTGGGGATCAATAGAATAGAAGAGGCAGAAACAACTGCAGGCACATTCAAAAAGGGATAACAAAAGTTATTTTTCCGAGTTTGGGAAATCTAAATAAGATAATGAAAAGGGTTTACCAATGCTTGGCACATAAAGTGCAATAAACAAGTTATTAAAATTCTTAGATGTGTCCCAGGTGTTTGGAAAAACAATTCAAAATATATTTTATGACAGCGGACAATGCTGGAATTTTAATTTTGTATTTCATGGGATTAGTTCTTACTGAACATTTAAAAATCTGAGAGTTTTTGTATTTAATGGTAATTTAGGAGGACATTTTTATCATGATTCCTTTCATACTGAGGATGGGAGGAGATTAGAAGACTAGCTGGAGGAAAATACATGCTAGGAAATCGATGAGGAAGGAAATACCAATTAAGACAAGCAGAATCTTGAGCCGGGTGTGGTGGCGCATGCCTGTAATCCCAGCACTTGGGAGGCTGAGGCAGCGGGAGGCTGAGGCAGGAGGATCGTTGTGAGTTCCAGACCAGCCTGGCTACAAAATGAGCTCAAGGCCAGCCTGAACTGCATAGCGAAACCCTGTCTCAAAAATACCAAAAAAAAAAAAAAAAAAAAAAAAAAAAAAAAAAAAAAAAAGAATCTTGAGCAGATTCATGGTGTGAGCAAGTTGGCAATGAAGGGAATGGAGCAGTAGAATTAGGTTTGGTGCAGTGAGGAAGGTAAGAAGGTTCCCCACCAGGCTGGGTGCGCTGGGGTGATAAGCATCACTATAGTGAGGTTTCTAATAAACAGACATGGTAGGTTGCAGAACTCTTGTGAAATGGAGCATAACTGAAGGCTGTGATTGAGTCCCAGAGCCCAGGGAGTTTACACCAGGACACAGTCTCACTGTCACTCATTCCGAAGTGGCTCCAGGAGAGCTTTCCAATAGGCTGACAAATCGCATGAACCACATAGTCAGTCACTGTCACCCAGCAAATGTGATTATGTTCTAAGTAAAGGTCAGTGGCCGAAGCTGTCATGTGGCCAACATCCTTCTGGTAAGCTGTCCAAACCCCGCAGACATGAGGCTATTTCTACCAGTCCTAGCACTTCCTGCACTTATATCACATACTACTGGTTCTGGGAAGGTGACTGTCCAATTAGTACCAGTGCTAACTGGCATCTGTGGCACCTTGAGTATTTTTGTTCTGTATTTGTTTTACATCCACTCCATCACCTTGCCCCTGCTCCCAGGGCCTCATAGCATCAGTCACATTTATTTCCATGTAAATGCAGCTTCTGTAAAACACAGCTTTTGACTCTAAAACATTAAGAATTTAGGGTCCAGGAGAAATAATCAGAAAGCTGTGAAAATAAGACCAGGGAGAAAGGGTTAAAGAAATTGAGATTATTTAGCTTTAAAAGATTAATGACTAGTGACTTAACAGTGTTCAATGGATTTTTTTTTTTTTTTTTTTTTTTTTTTTTGAGACAGGGTCTTTCTATGTAGTTCAGGCGGGCCTCAAACTTCAGGCAGTCCCCCTGCCTCAGCCTCCAGAGTGCTGTGATTACAGGTGTGCACCACCAGGCTGGCTCAATGGAATTTCTGAATTGTTTTCAGAGGTTACTAAAAAAACCAAAATCACCAGCTCCTAAAACACTCATTTGACCTGTAGCCTTCTGGCTTTTTTACAGGAAAGGATTTTGATGTTTTACTTTCATTTATCCACTTGGAAATGGAAAGTATGGCACACAAAGAGAAGGAGGTAAAGGGAAAGCAATTCCATTCTATATTCTACAACCTTTGGGGGTAAACCTTGAGTAGAAGGAAATGAAAAATGTTATTAATGTGGATTTGGGGCTGTATACAGTGAATGGAATTGCGGAGCCTTAAGAACAGAGCTTCCCATTTGTCCCCCATTCATTCCACTGGTGAGAGCTGGGAGTAACTAAACCAGGAGTGGCCAACAATTCTGGTGGTTTCTTTGGTGTGAGGGATGCAGATGGCAAGATCATGGCATGTGTGTGACCCCAGCATGACACCTGGTTCAGAGGGACTTCTGGAGGAAGGTTGGTTGAATTGGATTGAGTATCCAGATTTTCCAATTTCTCAGTGACATTAAGGAAGATACTAAATATTTGAAGGAGTATTTCAGGAGCAGATCCTAAATCCAAACCCTTGACTGGCTTTAAGTACTACGTTGTCAAGGCAGAGAAGACTATTGGAAATTTGTAATAGAGTTTTACTTTGGAATAATTTGTTTGGCTTTACAAAGAAAAGGATTGTAGCTTGCAAATATCCAGAAAATGAGAGCTGGTTTTTCTTTGTAATTCCCTAAGGAACAAAAGTGATGTCATTAAGTTTACTTTTACATAGCCCTACAGTGACAAGGTAGAGAAACAAAGGGATTCTTTGGCTAAGCTCATCTGGTGATACAGGTTATATCTTCAAGAGATGTTGAAGTCCTAACCCCAGTACCTCTGATAAAATCTGAGCTTTTTTTTAAAAAAATTTTTAATTTTAAAAATAAAATGAGGAAAACTTTAACAGACAGACAACCTTTTACAAAATAGTAAAAGAACAGTACAGACAATACAGAGTTACAGACAAAGTGGTAGGAAATTAACAATGCTTGTTGTATTACATATTGATATTTTCAAAGTGGTTTCTCATGAAAACAGAGACATGCAATATTGATCAATCAAGGACTCATTGACAGTTTCTTTCAGCAAAGAAATAGAGGCCAGTAGAACAACTATGTTAACTATCCTGTATGTACATACATACAAATTTTTCCTTCTTTCCATTCTCTTTTCCCACACCACAGTTGCTGTTTACCCTTGAGTGTTTTCCTATCTTTTCACAATATCTATCATACCTCTGAGTTTAAATTAACTCTTTCAGGTTTTACACTAGTGAGACAATGCAGTGCTTGCAC